AAGCCAAGATTCAATCAATATAATGATGTCATAATCGTTCAATGTCACAACAGTTTTCAAATGATGAAGCTTAGTACGGAGACCGCCCACATTGTGAAAGTAGCATTTGAGGGGGTTTGTTAGTTTTTTGGCATTGCAGCTGAAAAAGTTGAAGCTGGATGTGGATTATGTACTGACTTAGAATTTTGGTGGTCAAATACAAATTTCCGGAACAAAATGTTGGCAGGCCAAAAGTCGCATTTGCTTACTGTTTCTTCGCAGCAGGATGGAATGCCTATCTTGAATGAATTGAAATCAGCATTGCTTTTTAACAATCTAACATATATATCCTCGCTGATACTAGTCTTGTCCTTCACATAATCCATCACCTTGTTATTAGTAACAGAATTATGGACACGACCAACATAAAACCAGGAGCGCTTGATGGGTTCAACTCGGGCTACACCTTTTAGTATAGTTGAACTGGCTCTAGTTCCACAGGCAAGCGCATAGGTTTTGATTGACCCGTTTGGTCCTTTATCAAATTATCATGTTGGTTTGAAATTTTGGTGGTTAAAGTGCTTTGGAGATCATTTATTTTGTCTGTAATTGATATAAAGATCTCATTTTTCAGGACTGTGATCAAGTCATTCAGTTTACTTGAAAACTGAGAATCAATCACTGTACGGATTGAGTTGCTTAGCGAGTCAAGGTTGGTTCCAGAAACTTCGGCCTCATTTGTATCAAATACATCATCAGAAATGTCCACTGATGCTTTAGGGCGTACAGGAGCTCCTATTGCACTACGACAGTCTGGACAAGCGAACAGCATCACTCTGGAAGGACTAGGAATGCAGCGTATCTCTTGGGCTTGAAGTCCAGTGCATAGCCGACAAACAATTTTAGAACATAGGTCACATGGGTACCCAAAGGTTCCCGTTTTCTTCATTTTATCAGTGTGACAATCCTTAGAGCATTTATAGCAAGGTTTGGACATTTTAAACAATATTTATTTGCCAAAGACATGCACACTTAACCTAGCCGCCTATATCAAACTAATAAAATAAAGGTACTAGTAGTAGTCCAAGAGCCGGGTATGTGATCGTTGCAATGGATAATTTCTACATAAATACATACAGGGTGTCCCACGGTGGATGGCGTATTAGACGTTTATGTAGAACTAAAAAGCGGATCATTTTGAAAATTTGGCAACCGGGATAAACGACCGTAATCTACACTTCAAAAATATTTTTGTTTATAAATCATAAATTCTTTATTTACGGACATGCCATTTTTACAAAGGTAGACTCAAAGTGTAGGTACACGCAATAATAAATATTTGGAATAACAAGTAGGCAACAGACAAGTTAGTATAAAAAAACAATATTACATAAGCCTAAACAAATATTTTGTAGTAGGTATCAAAACATAAACAACATAATACGCTTAAAATTGAATACAAATAGAAAAAACGATCATTTTAGGATCGACTTTAAAATTCTTTTGAATCTATCCAAACTTATGTTAAAAACATCCAAATCAGTCTTCAAAATAATATCATTCAGAGAACGACAGCTTCTAAGTAAAGGTGAATGGTAACCATAATTGGTTCTACGAAAATCAAGGTTAAACAATGTGTTTCCTCTTAAATTGCTAGATGGTACATGTAAGCCAATTCTAGCAAGTAAGTCTGGAGAATCAATAGAATTATTAACAATCTTAAACAAAGTACACATATCAAAAAACTGTCGCCTCTGGTTCAGATTTTCAAGATTTAGGACAGACATTAACTCATTATAATTTATAGATTCACTTGGGATGCCCAATCGATATGCAATGGATCTTAAAAACTTTTTTTGGATTCGTTCCAAGTGGGAGATGTGCACAGCATAATAAGGGGACCAGACAGGGCAAGCATATTCTACAACTGATCTAACAATTGCACAATAAATGTTTCTTAGGGTGTAGATATTAGTAAATTCTTTTAGTGACCTGAACATAAAGCCTAGTAATTTCATTGCTTTATTAGCAGTTATTTCAATGTGCTCTGTGAAGCTTACATTAGTGTTGAAATAGACTCCCAAGTCTCTAATAGTTTCAACCCTGTTAATCTCCAAATCATTAAGAACGTAATTATGTAAGTAAGGTGTTTTTTTCCGAGAAAAAGTAATAACCTTACACTTCTCAACATTTAAGGGGAGTTTGTTTCTTTGACACCAAGTCCGAAACATATCCAAGTCCACTTGCAATAATTGAGCATCCCTGACATCCCGAACAACCATAAAACACTTCAAGTCATCAGCCAAGAGCAAAAAATCGGAATTTCTGAAGACACCTGACAGATCATTAATAAATATACTAAACAGCAAAGGAGACAGGTGTCCTCCCTGAGGCACCCCCGAGGTCACCGAAAATACTGAAGAGATGTAATTCTCAATCTTTACAGCCTGTTTTCTACCTGTGAGAAGACTTCCAATCAAGCTCAATAGACCTCCATGCAGCCCCACATCGGCCACCTTCTCCAATAGTATCTTATGGTCAACCCTGTCAAAGGCCTTGGAGAAGTCAGTGTAGACCGAGTCAATCTGACACTTATTCTCCAAGCCCTCCAACAGAGCCTCCTCATAGACCAGAAGATTAGTCAATGTAGATCTACCCTTAATAAAGCCATGCTGTTCTGGTACAATAACATGTTTCAAAATTGGTGTAAGAAAATCCGTTATTATAGACTCAAATACCTTAGAAAAAATAGACATTCTGGATATGGTCCTATAGTTTTTAATATTATTTCTTTCTCCACTTTTAAACACAGGAGTTATATAGCTTAATTTCCACATATCAGGAAACCGTCCCAACTCTAAAGCCTTATTGAATATTTTACATAATATCTCTGAAAGAATACAACTACAATTCTTAACAAATAATACTGGGATGTCATCAGGACCACAACCCAATCCATTCTTCAATGAATGTATCTTGTTAAATATATCAAGAGGGGTAATTTGAACCGAACTGATACTGCAATTAGACAAACTAGATAAATTAGAGACAGGAATGTTTCGATCACTCTCAACACTCACCTCAGTATAAACCGAGGAAAAACTATCCTTAAAGCGATTGACAATTTCATGAGGTGTGCTACCTTCATGCTCATCAAGAAACATAGAACTGGGATATCCATGATTTTCATTTTTCGATCGTACATATCTCCAAAATCCATTTCTGTCCTGTGTCTCGGACTCGATTTTCTCAATGAAATTCCTATGGCTGATATGAGAATAAATTTTACATTCTTTCCTAATTTCTGAATGCGGTGTTGCCGCTTCTACTCTAAACCAGTGGCAACAGCGCTATTTCAAATGGAACACCCTGTATGTGATAACATATTTGGATTCTAGGTGAAATTCTGAGCAGATTTAATGTGATATACCCTATACCCAAGTTCAACTGTTTTGGAAATATTGACAGCTGAAAATTGACTTTTTGCAACTTTGACAGGCTGTAAAACCTGAACGGTTAATTTTAGAGAAAAACCGATTTTACATTCCTATCTTAGATTTTTATAAAATATCATTTGATACCAACTTCAAATTTAATCCATGATTAAAAATTCCAATTATATTTAATCCCCGGTTAAATTCAAAGTTGGTGTCAAATGATAGTTCACTCGATAGTTCATGAAAATCTAAGATAGGAATGTAAGATCGGGTTTTCTCTAAAATTAACCATTCAGCTTTTACAGCCTGTCAAAGTTGCAAAAAGTCAATTTTCAACTGTTAATAATTCCAAAACAGTTGAACTTAGGTATAGGGTATATTACATGAAATCTGCTCAGAATTTTACATAGAATCAAAAGATGTAATCACATACAGGGTGTTCCATTTGAAATAGCGCTGTTACCACTGGTTTAAAGTAGAAGTGGCAACACCGCATAAACAAAAATATTTTTAAAGTGTAGATTATGGTAGTTTATCCCGGTTGCCAAATTTTCAAAATGATCCGCTTTTTAGTTCTCCATAAACGTCTAATACGCCATCCACCGTGGGACACCCTGTATACATAGTAACCTTTTAACAAAATGGATGGTTTGCCTTGATTCTCATGGCCGTAAAGTTGTTTTATAAAAAGATACTTTTATAAATAGAACAAAATCATAAGCGCAACAAATAAGAAGTACCTTGCGGTGTAGGGGGTCATATGCGGCAAACACTTTTTTTAACACAATTTAATGTTTTTTTTTTTTTGTTTAAACCTACAGCCGTATCCTCTGCACAGAATCCCCTTTTAACTTTAAAAGTGACTTTGAAAGCTGTCACTTTCAAAAAATTGTATTCAGCAAGCAAAATAACGCGTGCGCTCGACTTTCAATGAGGGTTGCCATCATTTCCGGCCATCAAAATCGAGGCCACCCTGTATATTATCTGAGAAGACATATTGAAGAATATATCTACCAATTTTCAGCTATTGCAACGATAACATTGTTCCTTCGGAAAAAGGGCGGTAGTTTACGCCCAGCCACCAAAGGATTGCGGCCATGAAAATCAAGGCAACCCATCCATTTAGTTTAAAGGTAACTATGAGCTATTCTTTTATGTGAAAATTATCCATTGCAACGATCACATACCCGTTAATATTGCCGGCTCTCCTACTATAGGTATTATTCATTCACAATCCGATGTCCACAGGTACAGGTGAAATTTATCACCTTTCAATGCTATTTGATAGGGAAAGGTGATAAATTTACCTGTACCTGTGGACATTGGATTGTGAATAGGATATACCTATGTTTTTAAATATGAAACAATCTTGATGAAAATACTTGTAAATAATAGAGGAAGTACCTAGATACCCTAGTACTAGATACCTACTGTTACAGGCTACAGGTAGTTTAGTAATACTTAGGAATACATCGAGGACTTCTGTGAAACAAGTTGAAATACTAATATTTGGGGGAGTTTTATCCTAGTGAACATATAAAGCTAGTTACAGCTAAAGGCTAATAAAATTGATTTTTCACTTACCATCTCAAGCTGAGTGTGCTCATACATATTGCTGGCAATAGAACGAAGGTTAACGTAAGCGCAAAATACAATCCATATCCTTGATTCGAATAATGATACAGCAAAGTAACTGCCAACACTAAGTCTGTGAGGTAAGTAAAAATTGAAAGTACTATGCAGCACACGTAAAACGTCCCAAAACTATGATAGCTTTCAGAGATTTTCCCAGGGGAATCGCTGCCTTTTATTGTGTCGATTCTTGCTAATGAGGGCTCACGTGAAAAATGTACTACCGTGCATGTTTCAGCCATTGTTCGTATAAAATATTCAACACGTGAGAATCAACAATTTCTGGTCCTTGTTCAATCTTGAAAATTGCAATTTCTCACCATAGTTAACTTCGAGGTTTTTCCACATTTTTATGTTTATATACAATCACAAATACGAATTATTTGTTATTATACTTATTATGAATGAACTGCTCGAGAGATTTTTGAAGAAAAAAGTACTCGCCCGTCTACTAGGATGTAGGATAAGGAGGGCAATAGATTTGTTGAAAAAATTAAAATCGCCAATCTGGGAACTAGTAAACACAAAACACAACAGACAAGACAACACGACCAACTGCTGAAAACTCACTGAAAACTGAAACATCAACATCAACATCATCAATAAACAGAAACTGACAGGTGGCAGGTCATTGGTGGCAGGTGGTGAGAATAATTTTGTTTGATAGCGTTTTCTGTTGGTAAAACTCGTGCTGTCCGAGTTCTGCACTCAACACTGAATCAGTTCACGTTTAGTGCAATTCCAAAAGAACATGAATTTGGCGCGTTTTGTCATTCTTTTGAAATTTATTATTTAACGATCCCTGATCCCCAACCTTACCTAAAGATATTTTCAATGGAATAAAAATTAAAAACGTTTGTGTGTATGAAAAAGTTGAAAACGGAAGTTTTTCCTGTATGTAAAGTACATAATTATGCTGTCTCCCGAGATGTGCAGAAATAATTCCAATGATACCTGCGTTGAAATTAATTTTTATGTCAATTTCAATAATAAAATTTTGAATTTTTGGTATCTCATTATCCCTGGAAAACATTCAGGTCTATGATGTATCCTCTGTCCTGTTATTTCAACGTCTGTGTTAAGGCTCAACATCTATTTCTGTCTCTATTTTGACGTTGCTGTTAAAATAACAGAAAATTATACATCATAGGACTGCGATTGTAGATAATAATAATAGGTCTGTTTCTGCAGAAATCACAAGCCAGTCAGAGTAAATTTCATTGGTTGAAAACAGTCAGAAAACTAGTTTCAACCAATGAAATTCACTCTCTGACTGGTTTGTGATTTCTGCAGAAACAGACCTAATAATTAATTCTTCCTCTTCATCGCTGTCGCTCGACGAAGATAAAAAATATAGAATTTTATCAATATCGATATCCATAATTTTTTGGTTTTGTTTATACACAGACTTTTCGGCACTTTACGCCATCTTTGTTGTGCCCTGACATTGGCACGAGCTCTCTGACCTCGTGCTGGAAAAGTTGCACGAGGGCAATAATTGATTGCCCTGGTTTTCCAATAGAACATAAAAACCCGCTCGGAAACTGCCAACAGAACATAATTTTTGCATGAGTGCAGCACGAGTTTTACCAACAGAAAACGCTATGATGAAATTCAAATGTTAGCCATGTTGCCAGAGTCGCTTTCCAGTATGGGAGTGTGACGCCCGGAGCTACTCGGGGCGTTGAGCTCCCGAGCTGTACGTGCTTGTCAACCTGTCAGCTGTCACATCCGTGGGTGGCTATTTATAGGCGATTTCGGCAAGCTTTGGTACATGGTTTGGTACCCTGTTTGGTCTGTCAAATGCATACCAACCAATTTCGGATACGAAAATGATGTCGTCACCGTGACTTTGGTATCCTTTTTGGTCTGTCAAATAGGATACCGTGGTCAGCAGCACGGTTCTTCTATTTGGTATAGTGCTATCTACGTCTATTTTCGTTTTGTCCTGCTCTGGAAAATGTAAATAAATGGAAGTTCATTAGAATTTGAATAATTTGAAATTTTTAACAAATATGTTTGTTTTTTCGCCTTCATCTTCCTGATTTCTCGTATGTTTTGACTGCCAAATAATGTTTGACGATCATTTGAAAAACGGCTCTGAACGACAGATATGAGGTAACTTTAACAGCTTTAAATTTACAGAAAACGCTGAGTTACTCAAAGGTACTGTCTAGACAGTGCTGATTAGTGATTATACATTTTAGTCAGTGCAGTTAGTACCTAGTCACTCCCAAAACTAGAAGAACAACACAAAGTTAGGTTAAGGCTCGTCTCTTCCCCTCTCCTATGACCTACCAAACGAATTCGGAACAAAATGGTATCTTACGTCATTACTATGACGTTGCAGGTACCAATTGGTTAACCAAATGGTATACCAACCAAAGCTTGCCGAAATCGCCTTATTTATTTATTTCTTGTTACATCTCAAGATTGAACATTTTAAAAAATATAGTTTTGATTCTCTTTCATTTTTGATATTAAAAAAACAAACTGCACAAACAAACAAATAATTATTTTTAAAATTTGACATATTTGACACTAAGACAGGCGTCTCACGCCATGATACTGGAACGGTACAAATTTAGTGCGTGGCGCCCCTGAGGTGCTCTAGAGCGCGTCAATGTGCATACAAAGCGGCTCAGAATCTATTGGATGCATTCGGTTGACGTAAAGCTTCGTACAGACTTGAACATTACGCCGAACAGCAAGCAGAACACCGAACCGAACGACAATCGAAAAATCGAAACACTAATTTGGGGACGGGGCGAGATTTGCGAACCGGTTTGCAAACGCGTTCGTAGCCCCGTCCAATTTAGGGCGGGTATTATAAAACTATGTTGTTGACAGATAACTAGAAGTTAACTTCTGGTCTCTGGAATTATTATGGGAAGTAACGCCATTCCAGAAGTTAACTTTAAGTTATTCTTTCAAAATAGTTTCAACCCGCCCTTAGGGCCTTATTCTGTAAGGAACGAACCGTTCGATTCAGTAGAATTTCTTCGATTGTGACGTCATTTTCGGTTTGGTAGCGCGAAAACCAAACCGAAAATGACGTCACAATCGAGGAAATTCTACCGAACCGTACGGTTCGTTCCTTACAGAATAAGGCCCTTAGTGTTTAGATTGTCGTTCGGGACTGTGTTCTGTTACGAAATGAAAATTCTTAGGCGACAACTTTCGTATGAATTTCTGAACGCTTGGTGTGACCAATCGAGCATCTCCTAAAAAATTTCACCAAATGTATTAAGATTACTTTTTTTTGTTGTTCATTTTTTTATCCCATTTTGACGTTTAAAAATGACTTATTGAACGCATAACAATAAAGGTAAGTAGACGTTTATCACCTCAGTGATTTAAATTAACTCAGTCTCCATAGGCGCCAAAATTTCAAAATTACTATGGGGGCTCGGGCTCCAAAAATTAAAATAAGTAGAATCAATTAGACAGACAGGACTAGGATACTAGATACATAGACCTGAATGGGACCAGTTGGCAGATACCAATTTCACTGCAGGATCGGTACGCTAGATCATTGATTGTCCCTGCAGGTCCCTGTATATGATTAAAATTCGTGCATCTTCGACAGCTCGGCTTTAGCAGCACCATTGGCGTAGCCAGGATTTTGCCTTGGGGCGAGGCGAAATGCAGGAAGTGATCCTTGCTTGCAGCACCGCCGTATGCGCTGCAAGAGGGAAAGCGCCACAGGCGCGAAATTTTTGGATCTTTTCGCGGTATTTATGGGACTTCTAATGGCAGGGATGCGGCCATTTGAACAAATTTTGATAAGAATTTATAGTAGAACGTGAAAACCAACAGAAAGGAAATAATAAACACAACAAAATATTCAAAATGTTTGTTGAAGTAGGTAGGTATAGCAAAAACAACAAAAACATTAAACACACAAGTTTGATATAAAAATGAATAGTTAGGAACAGGAACAATATATTTCTGTGCCTACCCACTACATACAATACCAAAATCACTATGGGGGCTCCGCCCCAAAGGAAATTCACTATGGGGGCTCAAGCCCCCATTGCCCCCATGGTTCCGGCGCCTATGTCACTCTCGGCATTTTAAGTCACTCTGCCCATCTAAAAGTCCGACACCTCAGTGATTTAAAATATTTTTAACTCACTCTCGGCATTTTTCTTTGTACTTTATTTTTCAAATTTCCACAAAATGGGATAAAATTTTGTATATATCACGTGAGTTAGAATGTTTTATTCATTCGAAGAAAATTAACCCACTCGCTAGGGCTCGTGGGTTAAATTTTCTTCTCATGAATAAACATTCATTTAACTCACTTGGTGTATAAATAACTATTAATTTGAAGAAAAAACTTTAATTCCTATTTGTGTTTTGTTTATATTTGGTGGTATTATTGACATAAAGACACAACCACACCGCAGCCACACCAAAAAATTATGGTGTGACCAGTGCGACACCTGGAGCGCGCCCGAAGTAGGTACTTTCTGAACGGAGCAGAGTGAGAGTCAGTAGAACGAAGAGAACAACGAACGCTCAAGTAACAAGCACTGAGCTAGTTGATTATGTTTGGCTTTCAAGAACGGAAAAATCATGCTCGACTTGCATTATAGTGATTTATTTGACCAGCTCTGCATGGTCCGAGCTTCGAGTAGCTTGGTGCAGAAAATCAACTTTCACTTGTTTGCAGATATTTTTTTAGTCGTTTTTCTTTCGAGAAGCTCGCTTGAAATCGGAAAAATCTTGAATAGTCGGGATCACCCCATTTGTGCTAATGTTCATTTGCTCTACCCACCCGAAGTCGCCTTCGGGCGGGAACGTCGGACGAGCCGAAGTCAGACCGGAGTATGACGAGATGGCTCCATTTGTGCTACTGTGCATTTGTGCTAATCCGCAAATGGTCTACTCACGAACGCGATCGGCTATGATCGGGATCAGTTAACATGATCGCGGAGAGATGGCTCCATTTGTGCTACTGTGCATTTGTGCTAATCCGCAAATGGTCTACTCACGAACGCGATCGGCTATGATCGGGATCAGTTAACATGATCGCGGAGGAGTAGCAAGAGTAGTTGAAGCTTATGAAGGTTTTGTGTACGCGGCGGGCGCGCGGAACATCTGGTGTAATCAGCTGATAATAATAAAAATAAATTAAAAAATGTATTTGTATTTAGTGAATGATTGTGGACTTTATTTTTATTAACTACAGTCTACAGTAGAGTTAAGATTTTAGAAATATATAATATACTTATTTATTAAAGCGTAGAGTCCTTGTAGAGTTTATACAGACGTGTAAAATTATTTATAAATGTAAAGTCAATAATACATATACCTATCAAAGTATCTCCCCAGATTTAAAATCATATGGGGTTGTATTATTTATTGATTTCCCAGAATATTAGGTCAATAAACCTAGCAGTCCCATATGGAAAAAAACGAAGGGATTGCTAGGTTAATATGAAATATAGCAGTCCCCTGTAGTGAAAAATATTTTTTTAAATTTTTCTTTGGTATCAGAATTTAGATAATATGCTTTTTAAAGTTCTCCTAAATACCTGGTCAAAGAAAAAATTGAATCAGTTAATTATTAACTGAATTACAGATTTTTTTTCAAT